TTTCAACCATGCGATTGATTCAGGTCTCAGGCCTTACACTAGAACTTGTTATTTCTTGGTTCGTGTAAAGGAAGTATTGAGTGTGGGTTTAAATGAGTTGGATCGTGTAAAGGAAGTTTTGAGGGTGGGAAAGTCTATGGTGGTTGAATGCTGCTCTCTTCTAAACTCAATATATTGGGAGATTGAAAGATAAGAAAGAGGACATCAAATGGGTGATTCATGTTAGGGTTATTCTAGTAAAATTTTATATGAAATCATATAAAAAGGGTAAAATGGATATTTTGAAAAACGTAATGTATAAGTCAAACATTTTTCGTCTGGGTCAATGGAGGAAAGAAGGTATACGTTAGGTTTTCTATAAGTCAGGGGAGGTTTTTGTTAAAGTAAAATTTTAGAGGAAATTTTTATCATTGTCAAAAATTTCAGAGGAGGTTTTTATATTTTACCCTTTTTCAAAAATTCATTTTCATACATGCTTTTATATAATTTAATCAATAAAAAACTAATTTCCTCAAAACAATTGTTTATACGATGCGATTATATCATATTGAAACTTCCAAACTTGGGAAATTGGGAATGATGAAATAGGATGCCTGTAGTTGGCTTGATATAGTTGGGACAGTGCTTACACTCTGATGATATATGTAATTGTCAAAAATACTCAAAACGAGAAAGAAAGTTATTTTATTTTTCTTAATATTTTTGTTAAAAGAGAGTAAAAACCATTTACTTTTTTCATTCCCTGTGTCAAAAGTAAAAATGGAGTCTGCATTCCCTGTATGGCTGTATCAAAAGTAAAGCAAGGCTGCGTTTGTTTGCATTCAAAACCATTTACTTTTTTAACAAAAAAGTAGAACAAATTAAGCAGCAAATTGAAAATTTTAAGTGAGAGATACTGCAGTCAAATAATAACAAACGGGAGAGTTCTACTTCCGGATATGTATATGTTGAGGCTTTTGTACATACTAAGAGGGGCTGAGTCAGGGGTGGTAACGAGCCGAGTTTTCATGAGTTGCTCGAGCTCAGTTCGTGAAAAGTTTGGCTCGTCTCGTTTTCAGCCGAGTTCAAGCTTATTAGAACTTGGCTCATGAGTCTCGCAAGCCGGCTCGAATATATATAATATATAATATATATATATATATAATAAAATTATAGAAAAGAATATATATAATAAAAATATTATAATTCTTAATTTTTAAATATAAAATAAATTTTTTATATATAATTTTTATTTTTATAATAAAATATTTATAAAATATATAATAAATAATTTTATAAAATATAAAACGAGCCGAGCTCGAGCTTATGAACTTTTGACTCGAGTTGAGCTCGAGCTCAAGGTTCTGGTTCGAACTGAGCTCGAGCTCGAGCTCAAGCCTTATAGAATAGTCTCGAGCTAAGCTCGAGCCTGGTACTATTCGGCTCGGCTCGGCTCGAATCCACCCCTCGGCTGACCCAACGATCTTGTTCATTAAAGGCTTTTGTACATATGTTGCTCGAACTATCAATCTTTAGGGGTGTAAACGGTTCGAATTCGAATCGAGACCAGGCAACATCCGAATCGTATTTGATTAAAAGATTCGATATCCGAATTTAAATTTGATTAAAAAATTCAATATCCAAATTTGAATCGATATCTAATGGATAGTGAAAATTAATATTCAAATTCGAATCCAACTAAATATTCGAATATTCGATTCGATTCGGTTCGAATTCGACTAATTAATTATTTTAGGTAATTAATAAATATAAAAAAAAATATTTTATTTATATAAAGTATATAAATATATAAATTATTTATATAATTTAATTATTATATATAAATTATATAAAATATTTAAAAATTTTATATATTATATATAAAATTAAATAATCGGTTGAATTTGGATATTTATCGAATCGAAATAGGTCATATCCAAATTCGAATCCGATTAACTATTTGGTATAATAAGATATCCGAATTTGACCGCTTAAATACTCAAATTATCTAAATTCGATTCGACTATGCCCAATCTTAAATTCAAAATCGGATTTTTGAATACGGTTAACATCCCTATCAATCTTCCTTCACTATTGGACTACTCAATTAGGCGTCTCGACTACTCAATTTGACATTATAAAATTTTTTGAATGTGCTGTTAACGGTTTTAAACAGTGCAGTAACGGAAGTTCTGTTTATGTTAAATATGTAACTATCACGAGTGAAAACACTAGTGTTCCGTATAGATAAGACCCACATCTCATATTTCTTATAAAGAATAAGATTTGACAAAGGCTTCTTAGTCTTCAATCCAGCAGCCTGGTTTCTCACAAAATATGATTGCTATTTAGACAGATTTTAGTCTTCAAATCAAGTACTCTTTTTAGCTTAGCAAAACAATCATCTTTCCCTTTATTTGTTGTCACCATCAATGGAGTTGAAATCTGAATATTGTAATTAATTCTTGAGGATAACATGAGAGATGATGAAAGGGAGGATTTGGTTGAGTTGAACAAATTCTGACTCCAATAAGCGAACTAAAGTGAGAAGGCCCCTCATGGATTAATGGAAACCACACAATATAAATATTTAATTGGGGTTCTACAGACAACCATGGTCCACTGTCCTAAGTCCTAACTTCCCAGAATTAACCTCCCAACTTTTCATGCAAAATATCTCTCCCTCTTTTATAGGGAGCTATTGCTTTTGGCTCTCCTTGATTACTCTGTTTGTTAATCGAAGTCCAAATGCTTGAATTGAAATCTATTTCACGGTTTTCCACTTTCTACTTTTCTTCTCTACCTACCTGCTCTAACAACTCTTGTTGGCATCTGTATCTGTCAATTTTTGTTGAAATCAATCCTTCCTCGTGCGTCCATGTATATATATTATGAAGTTATCATCATCTTAAGTTGACGTGGGATTAGGTCTCTAATCCCAGCTTGCTTTTGCTTTTTTAATAGCTTGATTTTCGAAAGGCCACATATGTTGTGCTTTCAGATAATTAATTCTGCTTGGTTAATTATATGAAAAAAGAATAATAATTAATTCTGCTGAATTTCTTCATTCTAAAAAAAAATTATTCAAACTATTTCCTACTTAAAATCTCATTATAAAAATCAAATTTTAATATGGAATTGAAAATATTGCTTTTAAGAAAGAATGATTTTTGGTTCAAGTTCATGGTACTTTTGCCAAAATTCTAATGGGCCTAGACCAAAGCCTGAGCCCAAGACTATAAAATTGGGCCCAAAGCCAACCCGTGAACAGGTGTATTCAAGAGTAGAATTTTAACCAGATATGGTCAAAAAGGGTTCTAAGTTAAATAACGAACGTATCTGTTACACGTCGATTCATGCAATAAAAAAGGTTAAATAGTGCAGGGGCTGCAGCCTGCAGGAATATATTATAGTGGTATGTTGATTCCTTACGGCAAAGGAAGGATTAAGAAAGAATAAATGGTAATGGCAAAGAGAATATCGTAAAATATTGAAAATATAGCAGATATATTACAAATTCTTCTGTTTTCCAAAATAAATGCAGTCTTTATAATTAAAATGTTATACATTTTTTTCCATTTACAATAAAAAAATTATGAGGGACAGAAAGCAAAATTTTGCTAGAAAAAGAGGGTGAAAATACAACTCGGTTTTGCAATCAAAGCGTTCAATGCATTATCATAAACCCAATTTGAATCAGAAGTTATGTTACGGTGGCCGCAGCAATACATATGTTTTCGTACCATCATTGACCCAGACAATCGGATTATTGGGTTTGGGAACCGTCTAAATAACCGGTTCCATTTTAACTAAACCCAGTCCTTTGCCAGAAACTATTGACTTGGTCAGTGACCCACTGGCCCAGGTAATCAAAACCATTGACTCATTTGACCTGGATAACAGTTTTTGGATTTTTTTTTTTTTTGTTTTAGCAGCAAGCCACGTCAAAAGATGTTGGTCAAGAGATTATTTCCTACTCACTTTTCCTATCCACTGTGAATTCATAATAGAGATGTGTGGCTCCAATTCACAGCGTAGGAAAAGTGAGTAGGAAATCCCAAGTGCATTGTACATTTATCTATCTACTATCCATGTATCTATCGATCTACATATGTCATTATATTTAATGGTTAACTTTTTTTTAAGTATTGTCACTCTATGTGATCAAATTTCATCACCTGTGTAGGTTAGCCTAAACAAAACTTGCAAAGGAGCCCAGATCTCTTGAAAGCAAAAACTCTAACAACATAAAACCCATCCGCACAAAGAAAATCTTTCATACCTATCTCAAATTCATGAGAAGATAAGTTCCAAATATGCAGTTGGATTTGCAGAGTATTTGCAGGGTTTTTGCTTTCATGAGATCTTGTCACCCTAAGTTGAAGTTCGGGTCAAGAATAGGGTTAAAAAATATGAACTCAACTTTAGTTTGAAATAAGCAAGGTGCCAACTGGCCATTTGGCAAGGTATTTGCCTGGACTTGGGATTTAATCATACTTGACTAAGGTTGGGGGTATGAATTTGAGAATGGACTAACCCCCCCCCTCCCCTCTTCAATAAAAAAAAGATCGATACAAGCAATTTATGTGAATCAGAACGTACTTCTTTTCTGCATGCTTAACTGAAATTTGTCTAATTAGCAACACTGTTGTTATTTATTTTATTAATAATATATGCCAACACACTCATTTTAAAAATTTGTCTAATTCTTTTCTGCATGCTTAACTGAAACAGAAACTGGTCTTATAGAATATTGATTAAATTACTTTTCCATAATCTCGTTCCCTCAGTCTGTATTTCTTGATTCGACTTGAGATGTAATAAAAAAATCTACTTGCTGTCCATTGTTTACAATGGGGTTTTGGGACCTTACGTATCACTTCACCATTTTTTAATCCTTGTGAATATTAATGTTCACTATGGTTCGACTACGACGGGATAGTTCATATTGGCATTGGGCAATGGGCAGCAATCTTTGACAATCAAAGGATAACTCTCCATTTAATGTAAGCATGAAGGTATTAAGCATGGACAATCTGATATATACAATTTAGGTCAGTTGTATCCTTGCTAAATTATAAATCAAGTTGATTATTCAAACATTTCACATTAACTTACATTAAAAAAAAAACGTTAAGATGGCATTTTTCATTTTTCTTTTTACTTTTTGTAATTGCAGCTTCTTAATGGTATTCAATTTAAGCTAATGTCATTAACATCATGGATAAGTTTCCTTTCATCAGATTGGTGTTCATTCTCTTCATTGTACGGGAAAGACGTAGTGGAACCAAACCTGGGATCATCCGCGGATATGCTCTTCTGCACCCAACTTTCTTGAGATGTTCCTGAGATGTACGATTGGCTGTCCTGCGAGAACTTCTCAAAGGCTCTTAACCTCAATTCATCATTCATGGAGCTTTGATTAAGTGGAGCTTGTACTGGAATTTTTCCTTCAAGCATGCTTACCACACTGGACATGGTTGGCCTGAGAAAAGGAGATGGACCGGTGCACAAGAGAGCCAAACTCAACATCCTTAATGCCTCTTCTTTGGAATAGCGTGATTCGAGGGTTGGGTCAACAAGCTCTAGGAGATTATCCTCCTCTTGTAAAACATAGGCCTGACATTCCATCAGAAAAGAAATTGTATTTGTTTTTGTTTAATCAAAACTTCCTTATATCATTGGGGCAGATGAGATTGTTAATCCATCATTAGATTTATTGCTCAACCAATTTGAAAAGAACAAAGAAAAAAATAGTCCAACTAAGTTATTGAAGATTGCTTCTCATAAACACCAAAAGAATGTACAAGTTAGCTATGAAACTAGGAAGACATTTCACCGTAGTTTTTTATACAGTATTTGACTTCTGCTACAGTACAACAGGTACAAAATCCAATCATAAATAAATACACCAGAAATCTGTACAGTAACCAGATGTATCATGAATTAGATTTTGTAGCCCAGTGTACATGTCTTGTTTGTAGATTCAGAGCCATAACATTGATATTATGCATATATTAATTCATTTTTTTTAAATACATGCAACTATGCATTTTCAGATGTAAAAAGAAGATCAAGTTTATCAATTATATATACACACACACACACACATTAGATTTTCAAATTATGTTTACCAGACAAGAATGCAGCTTTATATGTTCTTTTATCATGTTTGCTTGACCATGTATATGTACGTGTGTATTAACTCTTGATACTAATTTATACATGAATTTTCCTGTATCAACTTATCCTCCAAAAATATTAGCTATTGTGTTTGATTACCTTGTCATGTAATGATACTTATTTATTTATTCATTCATTTATTTTTGAAAGCTGTGTAATGAATTTAATGATAATAAAGTTTAAATAACCAGATGAAGTAAGCAAAATTGAAGAATAAATAATCAAATTAGCAGGATCTATATTTTAGCTAAGCATATAAAATGCATAGACCAACATGCTTACCTGCTATGTCAATAAAAACAACATGCATTGACAGATAAATATATCATGACTGATGAATTTTCGTGTAGAAATGACACGAAGCTGTATGATTAAAAACTGAAATAATGCTCAGCTTACCCAATCGAGAAGATAAACAAAATCCTCCTTTGGCCTATAACTTGTGTTGCTCTTTCCACTTACAATCTCTAACAAAACAACTCCAAAGCTGTAAACGTCTGCTTTGTCTGTCAAATAACCCCTCATTGCATACTCAGGAGCCATATATCCTCTACCAAAGGAAAAAAAAATAAAAAATCACGTTTTACTGTTTAGCATGGGGCACAGAAGAAATGATCTGATGAAAGTAATTAAAAGAAAGAGATCATAATCAAGGTTTAAAGTATCGATACAGAGGGGTCGCTCTGTATTGAAGCTCGCTCCCCCTTTTTTTTTCTTTGAAACTGGTTCAGTGGGGTTGGTCTAAGGCTGGTCTACCCCCTGAACCAGGTAACACCCTGATATGACCCCTGTGGGGGTGTATCATTAAATGAACGATACGATACAATACGCCCGGTACAGGGCGTATCGTATTGAAATTTTGAACCTTGATCATAATGGGACTGGCAACAGTTTGTTGCTATACCCTTGATTGAGTTGTATTTTTCTTCATAAAAATTTCTCATGCTTAATCAAGCTCAGGTTATCTTCTCACAAAGTGGTCTTAGACAAGGTCCTAAATTATAGTCTTCTCTTCACATTCTTTCTATTTAATTTCCTTTAGGACTCTTTTTTCTTATCCATATCAATACTTTGAACCTTTGACATCTCAAAATTCTGGACTACCACTGGTCATAAGCTAGTCACTTTTCCTAAGAGAGATTACTCAAGCACAAATAATTGGGCTTAGTTGAACCAGTTTTGCTCCACCCAACAGATCAATTTGGTAAAGTTCAGGCTTACCATATTTGATCCTGTATCATTTCCTGTAATATTAGCATGCAACCAATGCCATGTATGCATGCATTTTCATAAAAATATTTAGTAATATAATAGGTTATTTAGAACAAATGAAGGTTATAACATGTGTTTAATGTCCAGTACAAACTTCTTTCTTCTTTTGCTTTGTTGTTTCATTTGAATCTGAATACAATAATAACACGTGAACTTGTCAATGTGGGAAATAAGAATTTTCATGTCCGTTCCTGTGTCTAAGTGGTTTTCTTTAGAAACTGAACAGCATTAAACATGTATATTTTCAATATAAATAATATATCATCTCAAAAACTTTCACAAAGATACCTAAACATCAGGAGAGAACAAAAACGGACACAAAGAAGGAACTACATTAGACCCCTCTCCAATGAGCCTTTTATTACATGAGGAATGCAAATCATATCCTCACAACTAGGATTAGAGATCTACTCTCATCAATTGTTTTACATGTGTCCATGTCAAAGGCACTTTGCCTTTTCACATGGTATTGGTTTGGTTATTTTACCAGCCAACATGGACATGTGTAAAAGCACTGGTGAGAGTACATATCTAATACCACTTGTGAGAGGAGGATTGAAATTGCTCTTTATTAAATAGAAGCTTTTATCTACAACTACAGATATTCCCTTTGATCCAAGAATGAAATAAAAGTGAAGGATGCACATAACATGATGCTATAACTGTACAATAAAATATTCCATCTATAATCCCTATGTTCACATCAAGGACCCCAATATCATAATTACACTTCATCTAATTGACCTATATTTCCTATTACCAGCTTCAGTAACCTAATTTTCATTATTAATTTCTAGCCATATGATTTTTCATCCATTTTACCGTTTAACCATCAAGGTTTTGCATTTTTAACTTCAAAATCTAATTTTCTTTTAATTTAAACCCAATAATATGCATAGAAGAAATGGTAAATAGGGAATAAATTAGATGGCTCACATAGTTCCAGCTATTCTGGTGCTGATGTGAGTGTTCCCCTCTTCATCAAGTTTAGCCAAACCGAAGTCAGATATCTTAGCATTCAGATCCTTGTCAAGAAGCACATTAGTCGCCTTTATGTCTCTATGGACAATCTTCAGCCTTGATTCTTCATGAAGATAAGCTAGACCTCTTGCTATTCCCAAGCAAATCTTGCGCCTAACTGGCCAGTTTAATTCTAGTCGATGTTCCTCACTTCCTACACGTGGATCACCATTCTTATCAATAAGGATATAGTAATTGACTGGACCAGATGAACAACAATAGTATTTGTGGAACTGAAATTTTTTTTTCCAAAATCAAAATAGAAGGTTGAAGTAAGGACTTTACCGAAAAGAGCACGAGCAAGGCTGTTATTTTCCATGTATTCATATATTAATAATAATTGGTTTCCTTCAACACAGCATCCAAAAAGCTTCACAAGGTTTGGGTGTTGTAAAGCAGATATCATTCCTATCTCATTTAAAAACTCACGACTCCCTTGCTTTGACTTTGAGGATAGTTGTTTGACAGCAATTACTGTGCCATCTGGCAGTATACCCTAAGATTACACAGGTAAATTTTGGAATCACAACTTTGAAGAAAGATGAGTAAAAAAAATATGTAGAAATTAAAAGATAAAAAATTTATGCTCTTTTTCATTTTATATGGAAAAATTGGATAAAACCTGCCAATAATCTGTGTTGACTTGACAGATCAGAAATGATCTGACCCAATTAAGACCCTAACCAATTATGTAAAATTATGTGTATATGTACATAAATGCATAAATGCATATAACAAATATAACCCCCAAAATATTATGTGTTTTCTCATGGTTTAACTGTAATAACTTTATATAAGATCTCTCCACTTTAAGAAGCCCATGGAAAGCAATTCCAACTTTCATGAAACATATAAGGTATCATGCAGTCTTTGTTACGAAAGTGAAGTTTTGGGAACAGACATGGTGGAGAGATTCTACTTTTTTTGAAGCCTTTCTGAGAATATATAATGTCACTACCTTTAAAAACAAACATATTGCAGATTTGATGTCTCATGACGGGACATGGGAGAGGGTGGGTTTGAGGCTGAGGTTAAGAAGGGCTTTGAGAGAGCAAGAGGTGGGTGAGATGATTTCCCTACTTGATGTCTCAAAAAATAAACCTTTGTGCTCAGGGGTGGATGAGAGAGTGTGGGAACCTGATGCTTATGGGTTTTTTTCTTGTGCGGTTGTGCCTCTTTCTTTCAAATCTTTCACTAATCTAATGAAGGGAACCCTTTTCCAATAAAAGAAGTACGGGCAGTCTTATCCCACCTAAGGTTAAGGTCTTCTGTTAAGAAGCTGCCAATCAAATCATTAACACCTTTGATAGGCTCCAAAGAAAGAGGAAAAGTTGGTTCCTGTCTCCTCATGTCTGTGCCCTTTGTTTGAGGAGTGGATAAACCACAAACCACCTATTATTGTATTGTACCTATGCATCCCAGATGTGGGAACACTTCTCATTGGTTGGGTGTATTTGGGTAGCTTCAACAGGTGTCAAAGAGCTGTTTAGTACAAATTGGATGAGATGCACCACAAAAGGACAAAAAATATTGTGGCTATGCATAAGGGATTGCTATATTATGGGGGTTTTGGAATGAAATTAACACGAGAACATTTTACAAGAAGGAAAGAGGGGTGGGAGATCTGATTGAGATCACTATGATAAGGGTAGCCCATTGGGCTTTGATGTGTGATAAATTTAAAGGTGTCACTCTAAGTTGTCTATAAAGGGGATGGAAAGTTATTGCTGATTTTCAGGAAAGGGTACCAGGAAGAGTAGTTAGTTAATAGCTAATAAAAAAAGAGTAGTCAGTTAATATGGACTGGCTGTAGGTAGTGTCAAACTAAATTTTGATGGGCGCAACCTTGGGAATCTAGGAAACTAAAGTATTGGAGGCGTAGTCAGGGATCATAATGGAAATATTCTACTTAGCTACACCGGTCCGAGAAAACAAGACATGATACCATGGAAGTTAAGGCTGCTGGTGAAACAGGCACGACCCTTATTGCACAGCTCATTCAATTAGGTGCCTAGCTGATTCTCTAGCTAGGGCAGGGGTGACTAGAAAACAGCTTGAATGGGGATGTCCAGGGCCAGGTTGTAATTTGTAACTTGATGGTATTTCTATTATTGGATCTCCTTGTGACAGGAGCTGTATTTTTGGATTCTTGAAAGCCTGTTTGTACTGCTTTTAGTTTGCTGCCACCTTTTGAGCAGTGGGTTTTGTTAATGAAATTTACTGTTTCCTATTAGAAAAACTTGTAATTTTAGTAGACGATCAAGGCAACAATCAGCCTTGAACCCTAATAGATTTCAGATTAAGAAAAGTAGAAGAAAAGTAAGAGGAAGAAAGAAAAGAGAGGAGAAGAACCGGAGAACACAAAGGTTTGTGTAGAGAACACTGATGTAGGCCCCACAGCTGTGGTCCCACTCTGTCCATAGGGTAGAATGTACCTAGTCATCCTAGGGTTAGCTGCTGTTATTCTAGTTGTTATTTATTTTTCAGTTTTATATTATTATGTGTTATGTAAATACCAAGGGCAGATGTGTCCTTTCATGTAACTAGCATAACCTATAAATATTAAATAGAAGTGGCGGCAGCAGAATGATTGAGATTCTGTCCTTCCTTTCAAAGTTTGTGTTCTACTGCTCTCTCACTACTCTTTCTCCTCTTTCCTCTATACTTTCTCTCCTC